CATATTTTTCAGTGTTTAACCAAAGCGTAAGTACATCAATAATATTCACATACCTAAATTATAAACGTCCAAGATGATTATTATTTCAATAGATCAATATATTATATAATTTAGTACGGACCTATTGACTATTACCTATCTAGTACATAGTAACTACATACCAACGTAAGGACTTGTTGCTTGATGGTGTTAAATATTTTCGGAAGTGGCCCGCCTTAAATTTGGCACACTTAAAATAAATTGAAATGGTGTCCGTTAGTAAATAACATAATATAAGATTATCTTTGGACGAATAATTTATAAATATCATCCATAATATAATTAGGTATACAAATATATAGTACCATTAGTACCTGTTATATACAGATGTACTATATAGGTACCTACATATTCTATTAATTACTATAATTATTAGGTACTATACAGACATATACCTGTATATTACTTTTAGTCATTACTAATTCATATTCTTATAGCATGGACGATTGTGCACTGTGCAGTGTGCAGGAGGCAACGAGATTTTTTTCCTACTAAAAAATATGATTTTGTTATGCGATTGATAACTCATTATTAAACTATTCGATGGTCATTATACAACACAGCAATCGTACATTTTAAAAATATTTTGGAAACATTTCATGAGCCACAAAAACATTGTTACAAAATGCAGATATCATGTTCAGAAAGTGTATACATATTGTAAACATATTGTCAAATCGTGATTTGGCAGAGAAAAACACATGTTCACAACATTTTACTCTTAGGTTGTCAACACATTTTTAAATATTTTGTAGCAATATTTCTGCTAAACATTGTCAACATATCTTAAACAACATTTTGTTATAATATTATTAGCTTTATGTTTTCAAAAGACGTTAAAGACCATTTTTTAACAATATGGGGTTTTAATTTTGTCAACATATTTTGATAATGATTTGTAACAATGTTTCACTGTTACCATTGTGAATATATTTTAAGTAACATATAGTTGCAATGTTCAGTGCTATATTTTCAAAACATTTTTGAGAACATTATTAACAATTTTGTATATATATATATATATCAGGCGCGTATCCAGAATTTTATTTCGGGAGGGGCTGAACAAAATTATCAACATAGTCACACAATAAAACAAAAAAGTGGGTAAGTGGATGTCGCTCTGCTGTACAGTAGGTTACAAGTGGGTCACTGTAATGGATGGTGTAAAATTTGAATTCAATGATATAATATCATTGTATAAGAAAAACGATTCTAAGCGAAAACGGTCCAGTCAGCCTATGATATTACTAAGTAGGTATATTTGATGATATTATTGTAAATAAAGTGATTTATATATTTACCTATTTACGTGGACCATTGTTTTAAATTTTTAATCCTTAACTATGAAAGTTGAACATTTTATAAATTTTTAATTACAAAATATTTATTACATTTTAAATTTGATAAATTTTGTCAAAATTCGAACTTTAAATGATTATAAGAAAAAATTGTGCCTATGTATTTTTAATACTTTTCAACTAATATTGTTACAATATATCAGGAGCCTTGCGTTAAATTTTCATGCTTTTTTACCCAACAAAAAAATTTTTATTTAGAGAAAAAAAACTAAGAAAAATGAAAACTGTCAATGTCCGTAAATAGCTCAAAAAGAGGCAAAATATTTTCAAATTTTTTTGGTGTATAAAAAATGAAAACATTCAGCAAAATTTTAAGTTTTGTGGTTTTTCCGTATTTTGTCAAGATTCGAACTTTAAATGCTTATAAAAAAACTATGACTAAGGATTTTTAATATTTTTCAACTGCTATTGTAACAATATAGCAGGAGCCTTGTATTAAATTTTCAAGCTTTTTTACCCAACAAATAAAGTTTTATTGACATTCATATTTTTTGGATTTTCTTGAAATTTCAGGGGGGGCTGCAGCCCACCCAGCCACCCCCATAAATACGCCCCTGATATATATATAAACCGAATATTTGGTATACTTGTTTAACCATTTAATTCAGTGACATGTTTAACAATATGTTAATATTCATTAATTCACAATTGTTAAAATGAGAGTCAATCAAAAAGACAAAAATTACTATCAATCTTAGAAAAAAAATGTTTTACATAATACATATTCCTAGTAAATATATTCAGAATTCAGAAACAAAATAAATCATATTTAAATTGTATTATAGGTCATATAATAGATTAATAATTAATTAAAATATAAAAATGTTATATTTAACAATGCCTGTATTATGCATAATGCCATAATATATATATCTCTCTGTTCACTCTGTGCTACGACACCGGGCCGCCGTAAAGCACAGAACGCTCTCTAGCGAGATCTATCGATATCAAGAAATATAAAAAAAGAATTTTTACTTATATTTTGTTGTAATTCAAAAACGAATAACTGTAGGTACATGAAAGTTACACTGAATGTTTATATTGGCATTTCCTATACACCATACAATTTTGACTCTTTTGGAGCTGTTAATGGGCATTCACAGTTTTTAATTTTTTTAGTTTTTTTTTCTATAAATATAAATAAAGTTTTATCTGTTGGGCCAAAAAATGTAAAAATTTAATACAAGGCTCCTGATATATTGTTACAATATCAGTTGAAAAATATTAAAAATACATAGGCACAATTATTTTGTAGTAAACATTTATAAAATTTTCGATTTTTATATCTAAGGATTGAAAATTTAAAACAAGAAAGTAGTTAATTCTGTTACCAAAAAATCTAAAAAATACATAAGCACAGTTTATTTTTATAGTTATTTTTAAGTTCAAATTTGGACGAAATTATATTATAAAAAACCTAGAATAACTATTTTAGTTATTTTGTTGTGATTGTATAATATTATTCGTGGGTACTTGAAACTTCTAAAGTACACTATTATATATCTATGATAGTATCAGGATTTGTTGTTGATGTATAACGCGTTATAAGTACCTGATGGATATTGTGATATGATTAATTTGGAATTTATTATAGGTACCTATTGTAGGTCATATTTTTAATACCATAGATAAGTACCTATATAATATGTCTTATACCCAAACTGACATACTGTCTACGCTCAGAATCGTTTTCTTATACAATGATATTACATCATTGAATTCAAATTTAATACCATCCATTATACAGTGACCCACTTTAGTTAATCGTTCATCTTCTACAAATTTAATTTGACATATAAGAACAAGATATCCAACAATTGATTTAGCTCCTCGTCCTAGAGTAGTTTGTGTTCCTGATCAATTAGTAGACAATCCCGATGATCCTTCACCATCAATTATTCAGGCAAGTACTTCAGCTCCTCCAGTACGACCACAGCAATTGGCAATTTCAAATTACTTTTAATGGTCTGTAAGTGCAACAAAGAGACAGTTATTAGATGAGCAGTTGATAAAAGTAATTGTTAAAGAATACTAACCATTTTCTTTAGTAGAAGATGTAGAGTTCAAATTATTTGTAAATTTGTTAAACCCAAGTTATGCTTTACCTTCAAGGAAAACCATTTCGTTATTGTTAACTATTAAGTATAATCAGAATTATGATCAAATAATAGCTAATTTAAATAGGAATGTAGAGTTTGTTTCACTTACGACAGATACATGGACGTCATTGAAGAATGAAAGTTATATGGCCGTAACTGTACATTTTATAGATGAAAACTGTGAGTTAAATTCTCATTTACTTTCATGTTCCAAGTTTTCAGAAAAACATACCAGCGAGAATCTCAAATCTTCACTTCTCGAGATCACTGAAAGTTGGAGTATTCTTTAAAAGATCGTAGCGTGTACATCAGATAATGCAACCAATATTTCTTTAGCGGTGCGTTTATGTCAGTGGTTGCAACATTTTTGTTTTACTCATAATTTGAATTTAATAGTAAAATCATCATTAAATGAAATTAATGAAACAAGTGAAAAGGTAAAATCAATAAGCTTGATAGGTTAATAACTTACTATTTAGTGTTATTATGCTATATATAATAATATACAGTCATATAAGTTTTTGGTGCACGAGTGCGGGGTGCGAAACACCTTTATGGAATATACATGCTTAAACTTGTTTCATTTGTGTTACTTAAACAGTAACAATGATATAGTACCCAGTCAGTAAAAAATTAAAATCTAATTGAAAGTTCAAAGAAATTTTATTTAGAAATTTCAAGGATATTCATGATACATACTGTTTGTTGATTACGTAAACATCTATTATACTTGTTCATTGAACATTAACCATATACATATAAATATGAATATATGATATCACTTGCATTAATATTTTACAAGCTATACAGTTGTAGTTAAAAAAAAAACCATGACATAGTTGTCTGGAAAGGATACAACATACAAATACAAATTAAATAATTCTTAAAAAAATATCAGCTTATAAAATAGAATAAAATTAATATAATATAAAATTTCTGTACAAATACCTTCTTATACTCTACTTATGTAAAAATATAAGCAATTATGATTAATTAACTAGATAATGCATACAAATAAAATGTTTACAATCCAAATGAAATGATGATTAACTACCACATAGTTTCATTTTATACAAATAAAGAAACCATGTTTAGCCAGTTAAGTGACATAGTAATTACTAATTTTCATTCTAAAAATTGTACAGTCAATTATTACACATTATTACAAGTGTTAAAAAATTCATTAATTAATGAAAATGTAATTATAATTATGTAATATAGTCATTTCCATTCTAAACCAATTAAAAATAATAATAATTAATATTAACTTAACACTATATTAATATTAAAATATAGATTAAAATAAAGATTTTATTTTAATTTTAAAGTCAGTTTATAGCTACAGAACTTATAATTAAATATAAACCAATAATAACAATAATGATATACAGAATTAGCTCTTTTATTTAAACATAAATAAATCTTAACTAATGTGAGGAAAAACTATAAAAATGTAAAAAAAATTATAGTTATAAGTGGCCGCATAAGCTGCCATTCACTTGCGCTAGAAAACACGTTCATGAAAACCTGAAGTAGCAGATGTAGACGTCCCTTGACTTGGAACGGTTGAAGCTGGCCGCATAGCAGATGACTGGTGATTATTGAGTCTGCGTGGAGCCAAATATTCAAAATTACTTTGTGTTTGTTGAGATAACATTTTAGATAGATCGCATGGCATAGGATCTGTCCAGAAGAAGTCGTGGTTTAGAGCAGAATCGGCATCAAATCTCTTGGCTGGATCCAATACCAAGAGTTTATCTAATAGATCACAACCCATTGGATCACGCACGTAGGGCTTTAATCGTTCCTTCACCTACAAATTAAATAATTAGTCAATCATTAAAAAAAAACAAATAAGTACAATTTAATAATAACCTTTCGTTTTTGTCCTTTGACTAGTTCCAATTGATTGTATAGATCTAAAGATTCAACTTTCGGCCAGACTTCTGGACTTATTGAACCACATAGTTGAGAAATCAAAGTTAATTGTTGTTGCTCAGAATTACCCTGCATAATTGGACTACGAGTCCACATTTCAGCCATAATGCATCCAGCTCCCCATAAGTCCACAGGCGGACCATAATTACGATCGCCAAGCAGCAACTCGGGAGGTCGATACCATAATGTTACGACTCGATTAGTATACCTAAAATATTGTTATTAATGTACATTATGTGGAACAGTGATTTATTAGGATTATAAATGTTTTATTAATTGTTGTTATTGTTAATTTATAGATATGGATTAAATAATAAACTTAAAAAACACTTATAAAGACTTATTATAATAAGTCATATATTAATTATTAACATGTTTTATTAATTTTTTTTAAGTTACGAATGTACTTAGATAATTTAATTGGATAATAGAATTATTTTATTTTATACTGATATCAATTTAGTTAAAACCTTTTATTTCAGTTGACGCATGTAGCATATTATATTTATATTATATTATAAATACATATTTTTGCTCTTCGCTCGTTTATATTAAAATGTGATAACCTGACGAAAAAAATGAAAATAGCCAATTTATAGGATTTTTAAAATTAAATAAAACTATGACTATCCAAAATGAGAATTTCAAAAGAATTTACATGCAATTCAATTTTTTATATTCAGGTACACCAAAATGTATTTATTTTAGTAAATTATAATACAGGCATATAATATATTGAAGTCATTACTCAGGTATCAAAACATGTTTTGCCAGCTGCCATCCTGGCCATACAATTTATTAAAATATGATTAGAATTAATAAGTAAATTAAGTAACAATTTTTTTTTTTTTTTTATAACAATTATTAATTTATGGAATTTATTGAACAGGTTGAAAACAAAAATTTCACCTTTACAAAAAAATGTATTTAGCCTGGTAGTTAACTATAGTTTAACAGTGCTTGGCAATGGAAAGTTAAATTAACTACTTTATAGATATTGAAAACATTTTATTTTTTTTAATTAACTAAACATGATAATAATATTACCTGTTTGGTTGACCATTTTTCTGAGCACTGAACGCTCTGGCAAGACCAAAATCAGCTAATTTTAATGTCCCAGTTTTTGTGATCAAAACATTTGCTGCTTTCATGTCACGATGCAAAATCTAATACATTATACATATAACATAATATTGGTTTAGACTTTAGATTGTGACAAATGTTTACAGTTATAAAAATATCTTTATTGTTAGTAGCTATAATAATATTTACTTTGTTGCTGTGTATGTAGTAGAGACCATTCAGCATTTGTTGGATTACTTGCTTAATCTCTCCTATACTGAACTTCACCTTGGTATTCGATAGCAGGCCAGCCAAATCATGTTCACAGAATTCAAATACCAAATAAAATGTAGAACGATAACGATTAAACTGAGTGGCTACAAAACATTTTTATGTGATATTAATTTAATATAAATATAAAAATGTTTAGGTATTTAAATTACAATTACCTCTAGTTTGACAGATTTCCAATAGACTTACAACATTATCGTGTTTTAATAGTTGTAATATTCGAATTTCTCTTAGAGCAGTAATTGGAAACTAAGATTGATTAAAAAATACATATCAAAATGAATAGCAATATATTATATAACAATAGGTATTTATTTTTAAACATTATCTACAAAATGTTTTAACACAGATATGTTTTTAGGCTGGGTGCAACATTTTTTTTCTAACTGATTTTTTTTTAGTAACACTTTGTTATCAGCATAGAAATTCAAATCAATAAAGAAAATATTAAATTAATTCTTAATGAATTGTTAGCATGGTACTAGATATTTTTCCACTACACTATACCCAAAAACATACCTATGATTTCTCAATTTTGCTTGTAGAGAAAAAATATCTAGTAACATGCTACATTTTTTTTTAAAATGTCACTGCTCTAGATCCCTCTCTCTGTATTTGCTTCTATGATCATCAGTCATCAGTCTTAAACGACATCACAACACTAAACACAAGTTTGCTTAAATTTAAAGTATGTCATTATCCAAGAAATATGGCAACACAGACGTTTGAAAATATGCGTGTGATGTCATAGAGCCGAAATCTGAACGGTGGAGTTTGTTTTACATGTAATACTGTAGTAGTGTTAGAATTAATACAACAATTTCAATAGTTTAAGATAATATTTTTTATGTGTTTTTTTTTGTGTTTATGAGACTGGTGTTATTATAATTTTGATATAGTTTTTAGGTTTTTCATAGAATTTGGTTTATACGGCAATATAAAAAAAATTATATATATAAAAAATGTAAGTATTGTGATGTCCTCTAAGTATCTTATCTTTGGACATCAAATACCGTACAATATTTACATTAATTAACTACCTAAATATATTGACTTACTCCTTCTTTTTCATTTTCCATTAGAATTTTTTTCATAGCAACTGTAAATTTAGGATTTTTTTTCTCTCGTGCTTTGAACACCTCACTAAACAAAAAAAATTGAATACTTATGCATTAGTTTTGAGTTATCGTATAATTAACAGTAGATAAGTACTACCTACTAGTATAAAATTAAATTAAAATATCAGTTTTGAAAATAAGATATAATATATGCTATAATTAGGAATCTAAAAAGGTCTATTCGCAAAAATATTCTAATTTATAAGTTTTATGATTTATTTATTTAAAAGAAGCAAGTTAATAAACATTTAACAATAACATGAGATGACATAATATTATGTTAATATTTTAATTCATAAAACCAATGTGAACAAATGTACTATATATACATAATTATGACAAGTTTATAAACATTTGCCAATTGGATTAAAAATTTTGGCTATTAAGTAGTTGTCAAGGTAGGTAATTTATCTTAGATTGGTTATAGGTATAATAAGAATGATATAAAATTATAATCGGATTATTGGGACTTATTGATTCACACAAAACAATAAAATATATTATTTGAACAGTTATAATGGAAATGATGGAAAAGAGCACTGTATTCTGTAATAGTGTACCTAATATATCTAACAAACATGCAATATATTTGTATGCCAAATACAACACTAATATATTATGTACAGGGTTAAGAATTTGATGTAATCTGCTGTTTTTCAGAACTATTTACACAAAGCTAGTTTTATTGTTATATACATATCATATATATTGGAGGAATTTATGTTTTAATATCCATAAGAATTCCAGAAAATGGATCAGTTGTCAAGTTTTGTCACCAAAGAAATTGAGTCAGATATGAATCTAGATTCTAGATGATGGTAAGCTGTTACCCGATGATTTTTGTTTTGCTACTTTCCAGATTAAACAAAGACGTTTAGTTGTTCGGGTGTGTGATACTATGGTTGGGTCCATAAAGTTATAAGTATGATAAACTCTATAGTGATCAAAGCCAAATGCTATGTTAGTCGAGTTAACCCGAACGATTATAACCGGTAGTCTTGGAAATATATATGGGTAGTCAAGATAACCCGGAAACACCTATTTACTTCGTGACATTGTAAAGTGCTAACAAGGTTTTTACCTAAGCCTAATCAAAAATTATTAATGGCAATTTTTCAAACGAATCCATACAATGTAAAAATCAAGAAAACGACTGGTACCTATTGTAAAATTAAATTATACAAATTATTTTATCAGATCAAAAGTCCACATAGAAGACTTGTTAATTGTGCACTCCTGAAACACTTTTTTGGTTCAATATTTGTTTAAAATAAAACATTATTTTAAATTTATATGGCATTACATTCATAACTCGAATTATGTTTTAGTAGATTTGAATAACAACAATAACATAATATTATTATTAAATACCCAAATGTGCCTTGACCAATCTTTGCCAGTTTTTCAAACTTGGTGGCAGCTTCACAAAATGGGAAGTTATACTCCTCCAAGTATTTCTCCCTCTCGCGGGCCATGTTCATCTGCAGCAAGTTGGGCGATGGTGTTGACGGCGGTGTCAACACACCATTCAAATTCGTCATGGCAGTCGTCTTGAAGTCCTTTCGTGAAACGTATGGGCCAAAAGAATATAGCCTAATTAATATAATAATCTATCAGCAATTATTAGTAAATAGCCAGAATATAGATGGCAGATCGCAGATGCCTAATATTATGAGAATACTGAATAGTAATAGTTGTTGGATTGTAGGACACGATAAAGAAATTAACGTGGTAGGATAAGGCATAGATAGATAATAAAAATTCTTTATTGTTCTGCGAGTATAATATAATGGGATAAAGACGACTTCACAGGTTACACTGCTTCTATGTCCCGTGATAAAAATGTGTCACTGTGATTGGCTGAATCTTGCGGTTAGTAAGCGGTATACAACAAGGCTACCATACTATATTTCATATACCAGAGAGTAGAATCAAATCCTATCAGCAATCACTTCCTTTTTAATTACAGCCAAACAAAATATGCGTCTCGAAAAATTGAAAAAGTAAGTTGAATCACTTCATAATATTAAAAATTACTAAATTATGTCAAACAATTATTTTTTTTTTGGAAATCACGGTTTACGTTATCACGGTGTAGTACTGTAGTGTGAAGTCACCTTCAGAATAATGAATAGATATTGTATTGATAAAACTAATCACCTTTTGATCCACAAAATAGTTGTTCAACTTCAAATTATAGTACCGAATATCCAAAATGTACATTTAATTATTTTGAGAAATATTGGTATTTTCAAGAGTTAAAATATTTTGTATTTGTTCCACAGTCTATGTTTAATGTACTAAAATATAAAATTACTAAAATACTTCCATTATTTTTTCAATTCTAAGAGGGGCTCACAACATGGGAATGTAGGTATTCCAAGCTTCACAATATTATTCAGACTTATTGTTGTCCCAAAAAAAGTTCTTCTAAACAGTTTTTGGAATTCATTAGAGCAAATGTGATTTGAAAAAGAGTAGGTAAATTGAAATAAATTCTTTTGTTATAACGAAATAATGTAACACAGTTATACAGATTCCACAAATTCAAATCTGGTTTTTTTCCCTTCGTATTTTTTAATTCCATTAAGAATATAATTCATTCGAATTAATATTCATTCCTTGCTTTTAATGTTCCTACGTTTCTATTTTTAATATAAACAATAAACTTTTGCTGGATGTTATTTTGCTTACCGGATTCAATAATAAAAAATCATTTAAAATAAATAAACAATTTAAAAAATACATTCATCGTTCCACTCAGAATCTAAAAAACACATCATTGTAAAATCAATATTTTCATAGCTCCGCTCAGAATCTAAAATGGTTGTATACTTGTATGATAGGAAGGTATACTATCAGGGCCGGTTTTAAGGGGGGGCACCGGTGGGCAATTGCCCGGGGGCGGCACACTTTGGGGGCGGCAAAATTATCTCAGATAAAATAAACAAAAAATTAATTTTTTTGTAAAGAGAAACTGAGAAAGATTTCTAAAAAATGATACATTTTATTACTATTTATTTTTTAAATTCTTAATAATTCACATATGCATACATTTTTTTTACCTATATTTTATCATTTTAAATAAAGAAAAATAAACGTTATTATAACTAAGTAGGGTACCTACTAGGTATCATGGAAGATTCTAGGTAGATAGTACCTAAGACCTAAGTTATAAGTTAGTTACTTACGTTTTTTTGTATAGTTTACCTATTATTAAAAATCTAATATTGGAATTCATAGGTACCTAGTTAAAATTGCTAAAAATTAACTGCAAATTAATTTTCAATGAGAAAGGGAAACATAAAAAGGGTGGGCAAGTGGGTGTCGCTCTGCTGTACAGTAGGTTACAAGTGGGTCACTGTATAATGGATGATATTAAATTTGAATTCAACGATATAATATCATTGTATAAGAAAAACGATTCTGAGCGGAGACGGTATGTCAGTCTATGTATAAGACATATTATATACATATCTATGGTATAAAACAAAAAATTGACCTATAATAGGTACCTATAATAAATTCCAAATTAATCATATCACAATATCCATTAGGTACTTATAACGCGTTATACATCAACAAAAACCGTGATACTATCATAGATATATAATAGTACACTTTAGAAGTTTCAAGTACCCACGAATAATATTATTCAATCACAACAAAATAACTAAAATAGTTATTCTAGGTTTTTTAATATGTAATTTCGTCCAAATTTGAATTTAAAATGTCTGTAAAAAATAACTGTGTTCATATTTTTTAGATTTTTTGGTTACAGTATAAACTATTTATGAGAACCTTTGTTTTAAATTTGCAATCCTTAGCTATAAAAACTGAACATTTTATAATTTATTAATTACAATGATTGATAATTTTCGAGATTTTGATAAATTTTGTCAAAATTCGATCTTTAAATGCTTATAAAAAAAAACGGTGCCTATGTATTTTTAATATTTTTCAACTGCTCTTGTAACAATATATCAGGAGACTTGTATTAATTTTTTTACACTTTTTGGCCCAACAGATAAAACTTTATTGATATTTATAGAAAAAAAACTAAAAAAAATTGAAAGATGTAAATGTCCATAAACAGCTCAAAACAAGTCAAAATATTTTGAAAATGTTATCAAGTACATATAAGAATTGATAAAATAAACATTCAGTGAATTTTTATGTATCTACAGTTATTCGTTTTTGAATTACAACAAAATAAGGAATTAGGAAATCGCTACATGAGAAATCAAGTGAATATTCAATGTTGTAAAAATTTGAATTTCAAACGCTCTTAAAAATTTAATTTGACTTTCTGGTAGAGATTTTTTTATTGATAAAGGTAGACAAACTTATGAGTAATCTTGTATTACATTTTCAAATCTTAGATTTAAAAAGAAAAATTTTTACGAATTCTTAACTCAAAAAAATTTGCTAATTTTCGTGATTTTTCCATATTTTGTCAATTTTTGAACTTTAAATACTTATAAAAAAAAATTGTGACGAAGGATTTTTAATATTTTTCATCTGCCTTTGAAACAATATATTAGGAGCCTTCTATTAAATTTTCAAGCTTTCGCAACCAACAAATAAAATTTTATTGATATTTGTAGAAAAAAAACCTATAAACAGTTCAAAATAAATCAAAATATTTTGAAAATGTTATCGTTTATGAAAACTACTGGGAAATTTTTACTTTTGACCCCCCAAAGTACCAAATAGATTCACTTTCCTATCAGAAAAGCTACTGATGAAGAAAATCCAAGCACTTTTACGGTCTTAAAACGTGATAAGACACAAAAAAAACACACATCATTGTAAAATCAATACATTCATCGTTTCACTCAGAATCTAAAATTAATTAACTTTATGCCCCCCCAAAAAAAAAAAAAAATTAGCCACCACTTCTATGGTATTAAAAAAAATGTGTTGGAAAGGGGTGCCATAAATATTGTGCCCGGGGGCGAAAAATCCCTAAATACGGCCCTGTATACTATGAAAAAAAAGGTAACAAACATATTATTAAAATAACAATTAGAATAAACACTAGAAATAGCATTTCAATTATTAAATTATATCATAAAATATGAAGTACCTACACATATTATTATATGCGTGTTATATATTATAATGGCTGAAAAATAACTTTATAATGGATTAATGAATCAACAGAGTTAAATTGGAATAAGTAAAATACTATAGTCTATAGTTAACGTTCCCAAAAATATAAAACGAGTAGTACGCTCTTTGTAAATCGGTGTATTATTGAACAGTCGTCAAAATATAAAAATTTAGAAAATTCGCAGTCACAATTTTTTTTTTATAAGCTTTAAAAGTTTTAAATATAATTTATTGAATTTAATATCTATACCAAAAAATGATATTAGTTATTTTGTTGAAATTAAAAATAAAAATAAAAATATTTAAAGCTTACCCCCATTTACTTATTGACTTTTGTTTACTATTGTCGTTTTTACTATACATTTATACACAACACAATATTTAAAAATATTTTAACTAATTTTTACTAGTTCGCTTCATTCTATATATTTATATATATAAATATTTAGATACTGATTTCCGAATTTTTCAGGGGAAATTAATTCAACCTATCGAATTAAGAAATAACTGATAAAAATAATAATAATATTATAATATAAACTTTCCTTAATTCCAAGGTTAATTCCTTATGTAGGTATAAATAAAAGGCTGATGTAACCTTCTCCTTCACTCAGAAGATGGGTTTCATCATTTTAAGTTACATTTTAAGTTTAACACATCCATATAATACTGATACAAAATCCTATATTCGCAATGACTACCGTCTACCGATTTAGAGGTAGTGCCGTGGCTGTGGTTGTTAAGCTTATAATTCCAATTAAAAAGATAATTTCTGTAACATTGGTATATTTCTGAATACCTACGTAGACCATAGGTATAAGTTAAAATACATGAGAGTGCATAATTTCGTTTAGGCTCGATTTCGTTTTTAAGACAGAGCGGACGACTGCACGATGCGAATATACTGCAGAATCCTTCGTATACGAGGGAAAAACATGATGATATTATTATTATAATTTGTTTTGAATTTCTATTAACTCCTCGTGACTGAAACGTGTCTAACCCTAGATTATCCCTAGAGTATATATTATGTTATATACACTGTTATTATAATCATACTTGGCCACAATCAATGTCACATTAAAAATTTCGAAACGGGCACGTTTGCAACAGGGAAGGTATATATATATGGAGAGGTTCACGCGGGAATAAAGCGTAGGACGTGGCCACGGTTACTATGGTTACCATCCAAGTAATAATATAGTTTCTGTATAGTAATGCCATTATAAGTGCTCGTCGGCAGTCCCAAAGTTTGATGTCCTGCAAAAAAATAAATGCCAAAATAAGTACGCGAGTGTAATACAAAATATGTTTTTTTTTTTATGATATGCATAATACTACAATGTACACGCTTCAGAAGAGCATAATATTATACTGTATGAGTGGTTATATAACAATAATATACCACTATGATGTAGGTACTTAC